GAAACAGCTTCTTAGCAGCGTATCCAGTGTTAGCCCGTTAGCATTGCGCTAACGGGCTAACAGCTAGCAGCTTTGCGTTAGCCCGTTAGCATTGCACTAACGCTGCTAGGCTGCTAGCTAAGTTAATCTCTCCCTAAACAGTTTTACTTTAAAGTGTCAAATTAACTCTTTTTCAAAGTATAACACACCGTTTGAGTTTGTTCATAGACTGTTTACTGGCGTGACAACTGATATTAATTTACACATTAAAGGAAACAGCTTCTTAGCAGCGTATCCAGTCTTAGCCCGTTAGCATTGCGCTAACGGGCTAACGCTGCTAGCCCGTTAACATTGCGCTAACGCTGCTAGCCCGTTAGCATTGCGCTAACGGGCTAACGCTGCTAGCTCGTTAGCATTGCGCTAACGGGCTAACGCTGCTAGCTCGTTAGCATTGCGCTAACGGGCTAACGCTGCTAGCTCGTTAGCATTGCGCTAACGGGCTAACGCTGCTAGCTCGTTAGCATTGCGCTAACGGGCTAACGCTGCTAGCTAACTTAATCTCTCCCTAAAATGTTGAACTTTAAAGGGTCAAATGAACAATAGTTTCTGTATATAGTTGTTTTATCACATTTTTATTTATTTTTAAGAAATTATTCACAAAGCATAAATACCAAAATAAACATATAGATAAATAAATCAACTACATAACAGTTGACAAATCCGAAATGAAATAATAAAAGTAATAATAATACAAATAAAATAATGGATACAATATTAATACTCAGGTATACATTCATTGTCAATTCTTCTTCCTCCTGTTCCTTATAAATCTTCATTAGGCTATAGTGTTCTATACTTTACTAATTTTTTCCATCTTTCCTAAAAAGATGTGCATTCGGTTTCTAATTCTCATAGTTGTTTTCTCCACTCCATAGATTGGGTTTACTAGGTTATTCCATTGAGAGTTTATTAAGTGATTACCTCTTAGCCAATTCCTTGTCATTTGTTTAATGATCGCTATTCTTATCAAAAGAAATAGGTAGGAATTTTTTTTTTGAATTGCCTCTGGTATTTTCCCCAGTAATAGGGTTAATGGGTTCTTGTTCAGAAAAAGGCCAAAGATATTGGACATTTCTCTTAAAACTGTTTCCCACAAGTCATACAAAACATTACAGGCCCAAAATATATGAGCATGACAAGTATTTTCATGACTTTTTGTCTGATCTCTAAATGGAAGTTAAATCATCCACATAAGTCTCCCGTTGAAAAAAAAATAGAACGGTAATAAAAAAAAGAAGAAGCTGAATAAAGCAGTTTCCCTTTCAAATTTGCGTTTGTGTGTGGCTGGGGCCAACGTTTGCTCCGCTTGTGTCCCTGATCGCTTAGATCCTTCATCCAGTGAATGGTAAATCTAAAACAGGATGAAAGGTCCACTGACACATGGGAGATGGGACTTAAAGAGTGTCAATTGCGTATTTCTCTGGGTCTAAAAACGAAATAATATTAGCAAATTAAAGTAGTAATTACCACATGTATAACACAGGTGTAATTGTTTTAGTCATTTTTAATGCAGGAATGTTTAGTGAGGATGATGGTGATAGTAGTTGTATATTTGGAAGCCCACCATCACTAGCAGTGACACTGTGTTGTGCACACAATGGCTTGGAGGGGTTTGTGAACTTACTGGGGATGGAATCCACAAAGTAGTGGAACTTCCTCTTGAAGATGTCCAGCGTGTGCTGCAGGACCTGCTGGTGGTTGGCTTTCCCCAGAGAGATGAGGCTCAGCTGCTTCTCCACAGCGCTGCGGATGGTGGGCAGCACCAGCTCTGCATCTGCACACACACAGCCCCGCATTTATGTTTTAATAGCATTCCATCAAAGCCACTCACACATTCAGATGTCACCAACAATGTGGCTCACACATTTGAATAAACCGGACCGTTTTGTCTGATCTTATGTCACAGGGTTGATTAGATGACTAACTGCATAGGTGTCCAGAGACCATTAAGTAATGTTCTAGAAATGAAGTCACAGCTACAAAGAACACATGTCAGACAATGTAGAATAATACACAAATAAATAACCTGTCTTGTAGTAGCCATGCACTAGAACAATGCCCAGGTTGGTTGGCTTCAACTTGCGTCCATTCTCTACAGTCACATAGTTCCTCTGGCAGACGTTGTTGATGTGGACAGGAATGCTGGCGTCCGTCCCTGGAGGGGGGGCAGAGAGGCCAACATCTGTCAAACTCTTCATTATTGATTTGATCATCCCTTATCCGATGAAGGAAGTCATGTAGGTCCTCTTAAAGGTGTATTGCACATACAAAGGCAGGAAACAAAAGGTAATCCTCAGTGAATACGGTGAAGAGGTCTTCTGCCTGAGGTACTGGCAACTATTTATTTCTGCTTTCTTTTGCTTGTTAATCCAAATAAGACTGTTGGAGCTATATACTGCTTTATATTATTGAATAGTTTAACATTTATTTTCTTGTGTGTATACTTAATTTTTAATTAAGTGTTGTTATTTCTAAGGCATGTTTGGGCACTGGGTGATTAGAGCACCTGGTGTGATGGTATATATTGGAGACAGGTGGAGGTGGGAGCAGAGCACAGCTGGTAAAGGTGGACCTCATTTAAATGACTGTGTACTGCTGCTGGATATTTTAACCAATACTTCCGATATATAGTCTGTTATATATCAATGTTTTTATTAGTTAATTTATATTTTGTATAAGCTCATACTCTGAATCAAAGATACATGTAGTGGAGAAAAGTAACAATATTGGCTTTATTGGAAGTATAGAATAGCTTGCAATGAAAATAGACAGCTAAAATTCAAGTACCTCAGGACAGTACTTGAGGACAGGCTTAGTTTGAGGCTCAGCTTGCAGGCAGATTAAATTAAGTTAAATTGTTCTTTGTTTTGGATTGTTGCAATAAATATAAAAATACATTTGGTATAAGGCAACATTTGTCCACTACAATGTTGATAAGAGTAAGAAAAATATTCCTTTAATGTATACCTTAAATAAATTAGATGTTGTGTAGCCCTGAATTAGCAAAACAAATCAATTGATTAATGCCGACTTATTTTAACTTCATTTTTTGAGTGTCTGCAGTGAGTGCTCATGTATAAACCCCAGATGAATGTAGCATGTAGTTACACTGTGACATTTACTCTTAAGAATATTGAAGAAAAAAGATATCAACAGCAATTATGTTTAACAGAAAGTGCTGAGATATACCAATGCCATGCTTCTCCATAAGTGTGATGAGTTCAGCCTCTGTCAAGTAGTCGGGGGGGCTGGTCTGTTTTTCCACCAGCTTGATCTCGTCTACCGTGAAAGTGTCACCGCACTCACAGGCTGGCAGGGCCTCCTCCAGAGGGATGCCCTGCCACGGCATCACAGCGGTGTAACCTGGGAGGAGATCAGCATTACTACCACATGTTCAGAAATCCATCTCCAAGTTCATCTGCCACATTCCATCTTCCTTCTCAGTGACTACAAAACTGTTTAAAACCAGTGATCAGATTTCACAATTTACACTTAGGTCAATCTTCAACAGTTAAGGCATGAATTGGTTGCTAATAGACATCTTGGGCTATGTTCAATCAAAGCCAGTCAACTATGTAAACAGGAAGTCACTATAGCATAACCTCTTACGGCCCCTACACACGGCGGCGTGCGTTGTCGCTTGCCGGCGGGGGGGGGCTGAAACTCGACCAACAACCAATCAAATGAATCTCCCGCCCCAGACACACAAGCAGCGGTTTGATTGGCTGAAGCCTCCGTCGAGGCGGCAAAAGTAGAATATTGCTCTACTTTTGCAGAGAGCACCGCGAGAGAAGCTACGCTTTGCTCCCA